GGGGGGGGATCTGGGGTCTCCCCACGGGCAACGTGTTTCGTATTGCCTTGTGTAAGTCCCGGGTGCCTCCCTCCCTCCCTCCGTCCCCCCCGGCGGTGTGTGCGCCAGCGCGCTCCTGCGCGGGTGTGCAGTCTGGCAGCCGCCGGGACCGGGCTGGGCGCCACCAGCCGGCTGATCTGCCCGCCCCGGGGCAGGTCGGGTTGCTTGCGGGTGTCCTGACCCGGCGGGGTGAGACGGGTGGGGAGGGGAGGCGGGCTAGGTGTGTCTGTGGGCTCCGCCGCCGCCGCCTCCCAAGCGATCCTAAGGGATAAAGCCTGGGAGGCGGGAGGCTCGGGCCGTGCGGAGCACCCCCCTTGCCGAGCTGAGCAGCGGCTCGGCTCTGACTGCCGTCCCTCCGCCCTGCCTTTGTAGGCTGGAAGATGAAGTGTACGACGAGGATGGCAACATGCTGCAGGACTTCTCCTACGACCGAGACCCCCTGGGCTTAGCCAACCCCCCGTCCGCGCTAGACGACATGTACACCTTATACTACCCGCCGGAAAAGAGGTGACTGGAGGAAAGCCCTGGTCCCTCGCCCCCGAGCAGATCTGGAAGCAGCAGCCGCGCCCACGTCCCCGGCCATGCCCTGCTGCGGGGGGAGACTGAGATCAGCCTTGCCCCCCCCGGGCATCTGCAGCCCTCGGGACTGCCCCGCGGGGAGGGCAGCGGCGGTGCCCTCCGGCGCAGAGACCCACCAGCCGGCCGGGGACCTCCCTCTGCAGGGCAAGCCCCTGCCCCTCCCCCCCAGCCACCGAGCCTCCCCGTTAACGTGTGATCTTTGTTTCCCACCTAGGCACGCCGATGGCATCTTTAACAAAGCCTACAGGAAAGTCCTGGGCCAGTTATCCGCGAGGAAGTACCTGCACTCTCTGATGGCCAAGCGGGTGGGGTAAGCCGGGCCGCTTGCTTGCTTGTACCGCCCGAGCCGGCGGGGGGGCGCGGAGACAATGCGGGCGCCGCCGCCGCGCTCTCCCCTTGCCACCGGGGAGAGGTGCGGGGACAAAGTCCGGGAGGACTTAGAGAGGATCCCAACCCAGAGCCAGCTGGTCACGTTAAAGAAACTTCAGCCTATGGGAAGAATCGCCTGTGGGAAGAACTGGGGGCGAGTCTGTAGCTTTTCAGGCAGATCGGTATCCAATGCAGGGAGCAGAAAAGCCTCCGCCTCAATAGAGCCTTATTTAAAAAAATAATAATCAAA